ATTATTAAGTTAAAAAAAGAACTTTTTAATCCTAAAAAAAATAAATAAGATAAATAAATTGAAACGACGGAGTACTCGGCAGTTGGAACCTACTCTCATCTGTCAAGAAACGGGTCCAGCACGTACAGTTTCAATTCAAAGAGGAATATGAGCAATAATGTCCTCTTTTTAGAACCGACAATAAAAGTTTTCCATTTAAAAATGATAATAATTTTATTTATTTTTTGATAATTTTTTTAATTTTAGGTTTTTATATGACATGTTTAAGGTTATAAAATTAAAGAATATTTTTACATTTTATATATTTTTAATTCGTGTCAAATTCAAAACAAATCAATTGGAACAAATAGAATAGGTAACCTCTAAGATGTAGATGTGTTGGGCGGAGCTAGTATGAGAAATAATGATTGATAAAGTTCAGTAATTTTTATCAAAACTTATATATTTTCTTCATCTTTTTTTACTTCTCGTAATTTTCTTTTCGAGAGTCAAATGATATGAATTTTAACTAACATTTTAAATTATTTTTTTTTCATTATATTGATATTTAAATAATGACAATATATTGTACTTCAATAAAATTCAAAAACTTCAAATTCTGAATATGCTAGTTTAAAATGTTGTGTTTTTTTTTTCTTTTCAAAATTGGGGGGAGGGGAAAGGGGAAGGGGTAATGTTGTTATATTATGGCAAATCGAACCGTCACTAACAAAATAAAAGTTCAGATAGTTAACTAATTAAACTATTAAGTTCCTAAATTGTTAGGTTGTCTCTATCGATATTGAAATACAGTAGTATTTTTTTTTTTTTGGTTGTTGTAATTTCATACTCGTTAAGTTATTTGATTGAACTCATCAACCTTCGTTATTATGAGGATTTGACATTTGGCACCTTCTGAATTGCTTCATTAGTTAGCATATAACTCCTTTAATTTATTGGGATAAACCGAACCATTAATTTGCGATCAATTAAGTGAAATTTGTGATTTTCTGAACTTGTAATATATTGGAGTCGTTAGGATTTGAGAAATTTTTGTGATATGAAACAATTACTCTCATTCGATCCATTTTACTTGTCACTTATATTAAGAATTTATGATCTAAAATAATTGTCATTATATAAGACCAAGATAAAATTAAGTACTTGCTTCTTCTTCTTTTCATTTTTATCCTTAATAAATGTGGAGAGAGACTATTATATGGTGAAAAAGAGAATAAATGAGGATAATTTAATCAAATTAACCTTTAATTAGTAATTTTATTTTAAGAAATGTGCGGGGAAAAAATATTTACGTGACAAATAAAATGAGTATCAGGAAATTATTGTGACCAATTGATTAAGTTTAAGCTAGCACGCTAGCACCTAATTAAAGACGATGCGTGAAAGAGACAACATAAATTAACCAATTGCACAATTATTTACTTTGGCGTGCAAGCTTATTAAAAAAATAAATCATAGGATGTCATTTGAAATATTTTAGGTAAACAGGAAAATCAAGTCAAGGGAACAAATTAAATCTGGTTTATTTGAACCACAAAAAAAATAATCCCAATTTAGATGGTGCCATAATTAGTTTGAAATTTTGTCTAACTGACTTGACATTCTTGACCTTGAAAACAAATAGAGAAAAAGCTCTAGTTCATTATATTTGGACTTAAGGCTTAAAATGATCCTATTTCCCACAAATTGCATCTTTTTTTTTCCATGTTCGGTATCTACGTTGACTATTCTAATTAAAATTGGATTCGAACTGAGAAGTTTCACACTAGAAGATCAAGTGCTCTTTAATAAAAACGATTTCGTACCCAAGAGGATCCAATCTCTGGTTAAGAATTAATGCAAAATATAGTGTATTAGTTATGATGAGATTTTTTTATTGCAATGTTTGGTTTGGTGTACTAAAAGTATCATGCATTACATAATTTTTTTAGAAAAAATATTTGTTTACAAAAATACCCACCACAAATATAGTGGAAAGGATGTAAAAAAAGTTTTTGAGGACAATAGTGTCTTTAATAATGTTAATGCATGCATTAGAACTCATTGCATTACTAATGTATATAAATAGATGGTATTATTATAGTAATACACAATAGAGTGCACCAAACAAGATACTAATAATACATCAAGCTAATGCAAGCATTATTTTCTCCAATACACTCTACCAAACGACCACAATCCTTGTTCGTCACCTTCTTTTTTTTTAGTTCAGGGATTAGTTTATCCCAATATCAATTTTATCCGGTGTTTGGTATCAAGTAAAATTAGAATAAATTTTATATTAAAATCTTAAGATTATTTATCTTGTATCCACCTATTATTGTGAAAAATATACCCAAATTCAATTTCATCTTCAATTTCAACTCCATAAATTCCAATGAAAAATATTTGAAATTTATGGCGAAATGCCTACTAAATAATGCGACAACATTTCCATCGGGGAAGGGGCGTAGCTACCCTATAGTCCTTCGTCGGAAAATAATACCGTATATATAAGTAAAATAATACACGAAATAATTAAATAACATATTTTGGACACTCTTGATAGAATAGGGTGTTGTAGTCTAGTAGTTTTAGATGCCTTGAAAGAGCCCTAAATGCTCATATGTTCAAATCTCACTAGTAACAATTTTTTTCATTATTTTTTTAACACCCTTTGTGAAACTCCTGGCTCCGCCACTGCATCCGAGCTTTTTCATCCTAATATGACCAACAACAGCATTCTCTCGAACAATGAGTCCTTTTGAATTAACATGATTTAAAAACATATAAAGTTAATGAGTATCATCATTACATAAGAAAGTTGAATTTTTTTCCCTCTTCTTAATATGTAATAATGTCATTATTGCGATATTTACTTTGTTGGTTATTAGTTGCTTAGTGCATATGTTTGAATTAAGATGATGATAATTAACGAGTAAAGAAGATGATACGCGATTTATAAAGTAAACAAGGAAAAATAAACATACAAAGGCCGGTTTCGTATTTGTAACGGCCCAATCCATTGATAGTCCGCTAGTGATATTGTCCGTTTTGGAGTTAGGCTTGCATGACCTTTAAAAAATGACATTAGATTGTAAGATTTGCTTTCTTATATACCCAACGTCTCCTTTTGTGTTTTGTTGATGTGAGACTTCTTAATCTAAGTTAGGGTGTCACATACACCATCTCTCTTATGGACTCAGCCAGCTCGCTGAGGTTTGCTTCACGTCCCTATCGCACGAAACTTGTCTACAGGTTTGCACCGTCTTATTGTGATTTGCCTAAAAGCAGTTGAACTTTGGCTCACATTGATAAGTTGACGTAAGAATGGTTCTGATATCATCTGTAATGACCCAGCCCATTAATAATATTGTTCGCTCTGGACCTAGGTCTGCACAACTTTAAAAAAACATTACTAAAATATAAGACTTGTTTATTTATATACCCAACATCTCTTTTATGTTTTGTCAATTTGAAACTTCTAATAGTAAGTTGGGTGTCACAATATATGACCTTGGTTTCATCAAATAGCAAGACCAACCCTTTTATCTGGGCTAAAGAATCTCATGTATTGGGCCAGTAAGATGCGCGATTCGAATAAGTGAAACCAGCAGATCATATCGTATAAATTCCCCAATAATCAAGGAATCTGCATATAGGTTAGATATACACTATATATAATATCCATATATTTGGAAAGAGAATAAAGTTTGTAATAGGTTGAGCCAATTATAGCTGGTATAGCACTTAGAATAAAAGGTTCCATTTTTTTTTTCATAAAAAGAAAAAGAAAATTTCAGAAATAGCAAATATAATAGACATAAAAAGCCTCTATAACTATAGTTTTGATAATTGCACTCCATAACTATAGTTTTGTTTTTGCTATGGAGGCTGTGCTATGTATATTTTGTGCAATTTGTATATTTCGCTTGCGAACATATAAATAGGGAAAGTATATACAAATTATATATTTATACATTTCAAAAATTTTCAGAACTCCGTTTGTATATTTCGCTTGCCAATATACAAACAAGGTAATTTATTGTGAATTTTTCATAAATCGTATACAAATAGCTAGAGTAAACATATACAAATTCTGAATTTTTACAATCAGAACTGAATTATACAAAATTCTGATTTATACAGACGAATTATACAAATTAAACAAATTGGGAAAACTATAACTGCAAATCACAAATTTCCAAATCAATAGCTATAACAAAATAATATTGTTCAAATGTTTGTAAATTTGCACAAATTTCCTATAAAAATATTGGGACAATTGTAAATTTGGAAGGCAATCAATATACAGAAAAAGAATTAGAAAATTTCCAACTCTGTTTGTTAAGTAGTCCAACTTCTTTATTCTTTCATATTTACATGCCAAAATTTATTAAGATCATATCTTTTTGATTTTCCAATATTATTTTATTGACAATTCTTAAAAATAAAGATCGCATATCATTACTTAGGTAGTTAGGTTTCATATTATGAAACATTCCACTAAATCATATTATTTATTTAATTTTGACTAAATATATACTTCCTTCATCCTTCATTCCAAAATAAGTGCTTCTAGAAAATATTACTCTCTCTGTCCACTTTTAATTGTTATGTTGCATTTTTCGAAAGTCAATTTGACTAATTTTTAAAGTTAAATTAGATTACATTAATTTGATATTTTAAACAAAAAATTTAGATATTTTAAAACTATACAAAAAGTACTATAAATTCCAATTTATTGCATATTAATATAGTGAAAAAATACATCGTAAAATGTTAGTCAAAATTATTATCGTTTGACTCTAAAAAATGAAACTATGACAATTAAAAATACACGAGGTAGTAGTATTATAATTTTGATAGATTAATAAATAAATCGAATTTATATTTGACGTGTAAAGAAAAAAAGAGTTTAGAGTAGAGTTTGTTGGGATTATTACGTGGACTGAAAGTGACACATTTTTAGGAAAAATCTTGTTGGAGTAGTTGACCAGTTGACAAAAGCGTGTTCATTTCATTTTTCCCTCAATTTTTTATTCAACAGAGAGAAAAAAAGAAGAAGGGGAAAACAGAGAAGAGAGAAAATGGCTACTCTGAGTATTCCTCCAGTTTTAACTACGCCTCGCGATGATGCCATGCACCTTTACAAAGCTTTCAAAGGTTAAATTCCGATCTCTTCTTTCTAGGGTTTACTACTATTCTGCTTCATTTTGATTTCTCTTCTGTACTGTAATTCATCATGCTTTGTGGATAACTTTCCCGTTTTTTTTGCCTAAAGTTTTTGAATTTTGTTGAGGATGAGTTGCTGCTTCATTGAATTAAGCTTCAAGCCTGATAAAAAGGAAAGTTCAGAAGGCCGGCTGGCTAATAGCTTGTTTTTGTTGTACCACGGGAGAAAGCACATCACATGTGTAGTTCTAGCATGTATCTTTTTTAACAAAATTAAATTAATGTTGTTTAATTGAAAATAAAAACAGAATTTAACCATACTCCTTGATTTTTTTAAGAATTAATACTTGTAAAATAATTAGGAGAAGTGTCCATTATCAAACAGTTTACTTTAGAGATGCATGAGTTTTGTCTCCGATTATCTGTGTAGATTTGTGTATATGCTTTGGATAAACAAAAAGGAAATGTAGAGGATGCTGGAGTTGATGAAATTTAGCACAACAGAAGATTGAAATTGAACGCCCAAGAGTGTGACCTAGTCGTCAATAAAGTGGGTTGATAATCACGATGTCTCAGGTTTGAAATCTCGAGATAGAAACACTAGGTGATTTATCCTCATCTGTCATGTCCCAGCCTTGATGGACAGAGTTACGCGAAAGCTGGCCCGGACACCATGATTATCAATACATTAGATTGAAATTTGCAATTTTTTCTCTTGGTAGAATGTTTTTGACTTGGGGATTGGTGCAATTGTCTAGAATTATTAGGAGGTAAGATGGTCACACACTTCAACATGGTATCAGAGTATAAAAGTGTGCTCTCTCTAACCGCTTAAGTTTTTAAATGAGATGGTCACACACTTCAACACCTATTTCAAGGCCTCAATGAAGTGTGGCAAGTAAAGCACGGTGTCTCCCATGGCATTAGGGTAGTTTATCCTTGAGATAATTATTAACCTACACAGTTTGTTTCTCTATTCATGCAGGCTCTATAGTTTCTGTATCACATCTATTACGTTTAACCAAACAAATTATCAGTCAGGACACAAAAGATTACATTTTGCTTCCAGAATTCCTAGTAAACTATTCTCAGAGGACATTATACTACTTTCAACTTTAAGTGCAATCAGGGTAACAAATAAATGTCATCATCCCATTTTAGTATAGTTTCAGGGGTTATAATGTATGTACTCTAAAGTAGAAAATAAATGCAAAGTCAAGATATCTCTGATGTAATTTCTTATGAGTGCATACAATAGTTGAAAATCAGAAGGTGACTTCAAAAGCTATAAGATTCATTAAGCTATAGTGTGTTTCTATTCAGCTTGCCTTCTGGTGAATTACTTGGTTTGTGTTTTGCAGGATTTGGATGTGATAAAGCAGCAGTCATTAACATCCTTGCTCATCGTGATGCTACTCAGCGTGCTCTTATTCAACAGGAATACAGAACTATGTATTCTGAAGACCTAACCAAACGCTTGGTCAAAGAGCTTAGCGGTAAACTTGAGGTATTGTTGTATTGATGGAGGGTCGAAATTTCTGGGATAACTTTGCTAACTCTATAATTTGCATTTAACAAGAATTTTAGAGGCCTGAAGCTTATTGCATTCAAATAGAAGATTTAAAAATTTAGGGCAGAAGGAAAATCAAAGACAAATGAAACTGCATGTGGCAAAATTTGCGATTCCTCCTTTTGTCTTTTTTCTTTCAAGCCCGTTTCTTCATTTTTTTTTATCATTTTGAATGGTTCCAGAAAGCAATCTTGCTATGGATGTATGATCCAGCAGGAAGGGATGCTATCCTAGTAAGGCAAGCTTTGAGTGCTGACTCCATTGATCTCAGAGCTGCCACTGAAGTGATATGTTCACGGACTCCTTCTCAAATAGTACATTTGAAACAACTTTACCATTCCATGAATGGTATCTACCTGGAGCATGATATTGCGCTTCACGCATCTGATGATCACAAAAAGGTAGTTACCCTTTGCATTTGTACGAAATAAAACCTTTTCTCCACTTGAGTTCTTTGATCACTTTAAATGATGACTACAAGTACATGAAAGAAGAGAACATAAAGAAAATCTGGATTACCTTACCATAAACCTTGCCTAAAAGTACATAAATGGGTATAGTAGTTTGTGGAACTTTATTTGTGAAGGTATCGTGTTTGAGAAAGATGAGGGGAAAATGAAGGACTCTCAAAGAAGTTTTGTATTTATATCATTTACCCTTTGTGCACTGGGAACTTATGCGTCCGTTGAATGGAACTGAGTTGCATCTGTCTGGTCCTAACCTGAGTCTAGTAGGGTTCGAGTCTTGCCTTACCCAAATGGGCGTCTACCTTGTATGATCTCTAAAATTCAAACAGCTAATTGCACGCATTGCTTGAAATTTGAATCTTATGAAGGAAGATATTGACATATTATTGTCTCTTAATCACTACAGTTGCTTCTAGCATATGTAACCACAATGCGCTATGAAGGCCCAGAAGTTGACAGGGCTTCGGTTGATCATGATGCTAAAGCTCTTTACAAAGCTGGGGAGAAGAAACTGGGAACTGATGAGAAGACTTTTATACGAATTTTCTCTGAAAGAAGTAGGGCACACCTGGCTGCTGTTAGTTCTGCTTATCACAGCATGTATTCCAGGAAGTTAAAAAAGGTAAGCTGACTTCATTTGGGAAACTTATTCAAATTTCCAATTGTAGTTAACCAGTGTATTGCAATTGTTACAGGCTGTAAAAAGTGAAACCTCTGGACTCTTTGAGTTTGCTCTCTTGACTATTTTGCAATGTGCTGAGAATCCAGCAACATACTTTGCAAAGGTACAAGTTACATTTGCTTAAATTCTTATCAAGTCATAATCATGATGACTATTTTGCCTATATATCATTATATTTTTGAACTCATGTTTCTGACTAGCTCTTTCTTTTTCTTAAATGATATTGTCCCCTTTTTCATTCTTTATTCTAATGTGAGGGTTGAGTTTGTGGTTGAGAATTATGGGTGTTGTTTACTTCTGTTATTTTTTTCTTTACCTTCCTTGACTTAGATGAACCAACTTAACTTTAAAGTCAGACTTATAACACTTACCTATTAAATTGGTCTAAATGTATTTGGCATTTGTAACTAGCGTGTTTGGTATGAAGGAAAACATTTTCCACATATTGTTTTCCATTTTTCTCATGTTTGGTTGCTCATATTTGAGAGAACATTTTGGTAAGAAACACATTTTCCTCTAATTAGTGGAAAATGACTTCCTTAAGGATCCAAGGCAGTAAGAAATCCCTTATTTTCCATTCACCAATCAAACATCGGAAAATAAGTAAGAAAATCACTTGTTTTCTATAAAACATTTTCTCTCCTACCAAGCACAAATCAGATCATTCAATAGTACTCGAAGAATTAATAACTGCCTATTTTGATTTCCTCAACTTTTAAAGTTTTTGTTTCATATTAATGAAAAAAGTAGTCAAATTTGACCTCTAAAGACAAATCATAGAACACTTGAATTGGTAGAAAGAGTAATACTTTCAATTCTTCTCTTTTGAAGGTGCCAAGTGAAAAGTAAATAGTCAAATCAGGAGGAATGAAGTAGATATTACAAGCATAACACTTGACACCTGTCCAAAGACAAATATCATGATAGTTATCTTTAGTAGATGACATATGGTCATTTCACTTGGTGATGTTATACTTAATATTTGATCCCCTTCCTCCTATCTGATTTCTTCGTCTCCTCGCTTTTGGAGATATGTATACCAATCAAGGATAAAAGTGGCTAAAGTGCATATTGGTAATGATTATAATTATCCAAGAGGTTTGCTGGAGACCACTATTGTCCAAATTTTCTGTTCTTTCAACTAGACTCGAATTTCTTGTTGTGTTTCATCTAGATGCATTGCCTTTACTTACTGTGATATTTGTTCTCTTTCATGTGGCAAGTTTCATACTGCTCTTTCTATTTTGAAATACTTCTTATTCTTGTTGTCTCTATATCAAGTTGGACGTGAAATGGGATTCTAAAGATTTTCATGTTTTTGCTATAGCATCCTTCATTGGGGGCATCAGAATAATCTTAGTAGTTTGCTATAATCTGTTCAATCATTTTTGTCGTAGATTTAGTAAATCATTCTCTTATGCTAATTCTTACATGAATAAATTGTTTAAACTCTTGGGCTGTACTGCACCTTACATATGTTTAATGGATGCAGGAGTTGCACAAGGCAATGAAGGGCTTGGGGACGAATGATACAACTCTCATTAGGATAGTAGCCACGCGAACTGAGATTGATATGCAGTATATAAAAGCAGAGTACCAGAAAAAGCATAAGAAATCTCTTAATGATGCTGTTCATTCGGAGACTTCTGGTGATTATCGTACCTTTCTTCTATCTCTTCTGGGGCCTGCTCACTGAATGAAGAGTCTATGCCATGCAACAGGTGTTATTAGTATGGTATCAGTGTTGAAACTAGTGTGTAAGGCAAGCAGTTTCTGTTGCATGCTTATTAATGTTTGCTTATTTGCCTAGTTGGTTGATTTGGAACAATGTCTGTCCATGATCAGTTGCTAAACGTGAATGGTGTTGTGAAGGTGCTTTCAGATGTTCACTTATTTGGATGTGTTTGGTACGGAAGGAAAATATATATATATATATTTTTTCAATTCTCTCTTGTTTGGTTGGTTAAAATTTTTGGAAAATATTTTTCAAGATAACAAATCTTCTCAACCGAGGAAAATGACTTCTCTAATGAAAGTAGAGAAAACAAGTTTGATGGTGTTCTTTCTCTAACACATCTTACCTTCACTCCTACCTCTATAACCTTTACCTCTTCATTCTTAGGATAATTTTTTTTTCTTACCTATAGAACATAATAAGATAGTAAGAAAATTTCTAATTTTCCTTGAAAACTTTTTTCAAGATTCATTTTGATTTTTTGTTGTGAATTGTGAAAAATGTTATTCCGTTAGAGAAAAATTGCTCAAACATTTTGTTCTTCTCCTTTTTCTTGAGGATAGTAGCACTTGGAACACATTGATCCCGCTATTTCTTGCCCTCGCTTTAAGAGCTTTTCGTCAATGCGATTAGTATTTTATATTGTTGAAAAACAAAGTTTACACTTGTTCACTAATTATGATGGTTCAATTGATATTTCTTTTTCGTTCTCCTTTATTTGCTCACACATAGGGGTTAGGACCTCCACAAAGAAGGGAGGAAATCGACTTAACATCTCAACCATGTCATAGTTTTACTCACACCCAATCCCCAACTCTTATTCATCTCATTGTGATGGCGTTTAGTGAATTTTGACTTTGTATGACTGTGTTGGGTAGGCAACAACTGTTGCATCATAATACTTATAGAAATATTAAAGGAATGGACAACAAAAAGTTGTAGAAAATTTGTTATCTAATTCAATTTTTAATGCTATATAGATCGCTCTTTTATTATAGGGTGATGATTTGCTTCATATATCTCATTTTAAAGGGTATCATGTTTTATACGATTGTCAGCTAAATAAATAGATGAAACAAATGAAGAAAAAAAAGAAAGTGCTTTGAAAACATAATTGTGTTACGATAAATCATCTCATTAAAAGTGAAACTAAAATTTTGAACTCAAATTATTAGTATTATTGGATAAAAAGAGATATTTTAATATATAGTTAAACATCAGACAATACATTATCACTGTTAGTACTAGCAATTACAAATAGATTACCAAAACAGGCTAACTTATTACACGTTGACCGTAATACTAGTTTACTAGATAGTTCTCCGTTTTGGTCTGTCTTGAGATGATCTATTACAACATTGGGAGGAGTTATTAGGATAAGCGGTTGATCGGTCATTGTTAGCTTAGAACCTAATCTGGACAGAATGTCTGCTACTATGTTTGCTTGTCGGAAGTCATGACGGACCACCAAATTCCCCAATTTCTTCAAAGTTATGCATTCCGACAAATCAAAGAACAAAATACTAAAGAAAGGAACCGCTAAAATTATTTTATATTTTCTCAAAAAGTAAACAATGTATAACATAGAAAACAATTTTTGAGAAATGCAAGAACATCTTGAAACAAAAACATAGTATCTTTTTTTTTAAAAATCTTTTGCCAATTTTTTTTCCTTTTAAATTCTGGAAATTAATGCTTAAAAAAGAAGGAGAAAAAAAAAAGAAGCAATAAGAAGAGAAGACCGAAAGGCAGGCACTCGAGCAGGAGTAAACGGATCAAACCCTAGTAGCGTACACATCCAGAAGCCTAATGTATCACTTAAACCTGTAGGCAGCGACTGAGTAAAGATGAAAATGGACGTAACCATGGGGGAACCCGGCGAGATACTGCCGGAGCACAAGCCGGAAAGGTCGCCGCACGAGGTTCTGCAGCAAAGCAAAGCTTCAGTAGAGGAAATCGTCTCAAAAATGCTTTCTATGAAGAAAGAAAGCACGCCGAAGTCTGAAATTCGCGAACTTGTCACTCAGATTTTCATCAACTTCGTCTCTCTCCGTCAGGTTAATATTTCATTGCATCTCCAATTGTTCTTTTTTGAAAGTTTTATGAGTTCAGTTTCCAATTAAATAATCCGCTCGTCAATCCAATTTTCAAGTAAAGGTAGCATTTTGTTATTAACGAAGTGATAAAACTAGTCAAACGAAGATGAATGTAAGGTTAAGTATGAGCTGTTGGTACTCTAGACTCAATTTATATATATATGTATCATCCGTTTGAATGCTGGTTGATGTAATTCAATGGACTCAGCTACAATACTCAGTGAGAGTTGCTCTAAGCCTTGGTAGGTAGATTTACCGGAGACCTGTGCTTTTTAGGTACAGCTGCCCTGGCACTAGTTCAGTTGGGACTATCATGGAGGGAGTCTATGCATAGTTAATTGGCATGATTTAGAAAACTTCGACCTTTCTCCGTTTTATTTGATTTTCATCCCGCAAAACATCTGTTAGTATTGTATATCTTTGATCACTCTGGTTGGTGATCTCAACTCAGTTTTATTTATTGAGTAATTGAATCTACGTGCACATAACAAACAAAAAGAACTATGTACATGTGCTTCCGTTCCTTTTTTTTTTTATTTGGCAATTGAAGTTACATTTTTTCTTAATTACCAACTACCAGGTGAACTCTTTACAAAGCTAGGATTGAATTGGATAATTCAATCCTTTCTCATCTAATCCGCTAGAAACCAAAATAGATGGCAAATATAGTTACTACTCATTTAGTGATTTTATATATCTAAACAACCTCCTACTATTCCTAGTTCTTGTGCTCAGAGATAGCTTCATCTAGTGTACTAGTTTCTCCTTGGGCATGGTTGTGTTTTGGAAAATCCGTCTATTTCTTTCCGGCCATATACCATAAACCACCATTGTTAGACTAGCTTTAAGTATCATCTTTCCTTGGATCTTTGTTTCTGGAATTTTGTTGCATCCAACTCCATTCAAGTTCCCACTCCAGTATTCCCCTGATCCTTTTCTGCCATTTGAGTATGTTGCTCCATATATCTTTAGTAAACTGACACTTGAAAAATAGGTGACTTCCAGTCTCGACTTCAGTGCTGCAGAAGATGCAAAAAGGATATACATCGAGTCCCCATCTCAAGAGCAAATTTTTAGTTTTTAGCTTCCGTGTAGACTCAGCCATAGGATGAAACTGTGTCTGGGTTCAGATGTGTTATGACATAACAATTTATTTCATTTTGGTCATGGGTACTAGGAAATGGAATCCTAAAATGGCGCCTTATATCTCTGCAAAGCACAAGGGTATTCGTATTGCAAATCTTACTAGAACTGCTCGTTTTTTATCAGAAGCCTGTGATTTAGTTTTGACGCAGCAAGTAGGGGAAAACAATTCTTAATTGTTGGTACCAAAAATAAAGCAGTTGATTCTGTAGAGTGGGCTGCAATAAGTGCCCGGTGTCATTATGTTAATAAAAAATGGCTTGGCAGTATGTTAACGAATTTGTCCACTACAGAAACAAGACTTCATAAGTTCAGGGACTTGAGAATGGAACAAAAAATAGGGAGACTCAACCGTCTCCCGAAAGAGATGCAGCTTTGTTGAAAAGACAATTATCTCTCTTGCAAACATATCTGGGCGGGATTAAATATATGACAGGGGTACCCGATATTGTAATCATCGTTGATCAACACGAAGAATATACGGCCCTGTGAGAGTGTATTACTTTAGGAATTCCAACAATTTGTTTCTTGAAGATTAGGTCTAGTTGTTAGGCTGTAGCCTTAATATTGGGGAGTTGGTTGTATCCTCTTGTATTTAAACTCTAATTCTAATTGAATGATACTGTTGCTTGATTGCTTTACTTCTCAAACTTGATACACGCTTCACTGCAAATTGCACATATAATGTCTCTTAAGGTTGCATTTTATTATTGTTAGGCTGCACATATTCCATGTGAAGTTTAGATTTGTATACTTTTATTTGATTTTTTGAGCTCCACACTTTGAGTAAGGTACTAATCCTTGAAATTTGTGGAAAGTTTTGGGCCGTCTTATTTCATCTAACCATTCTTAAGTTGTTTCAATTAACCAACGTTAGGATTGCTGAATAGCAAAATAATTGTTCCATGAAATCTATGCACGAAAGTAATTTGTGCCTGGAAATCTATGTTAATATGTTCAACTAACTATTTCACACTACCTTAAACATCCTCCCATAGGCAAATAGATCAATATTGCTCGAAGAGGATCGTGTGAAGGGGGAAACTGAACGTGCAAAAGCTCCTGTGGACTTCACCACGCTGCAGCTCCACAACTTGATGTATGAAAAAAGTCATTATGTGAAAGCTATAAAGGCCTGCAAAGATTTCAGGTCAAAATATCCTGATATTGAACTTGTTCCTGAGGAAGAATTCTTTAGAGATGCACCCGAGGAGATAAAAAACACTGTTATGTCAAATGATAACTCACACAATTTGATGCTAAAGCGGTTCAATTTTGAGCTATTCCAGGTAAACTAGTTTAATGCAATTGGCGAGCACTCCTTTCTATTTCCACATTAGTAATTGTTTACTAGTGTTATTTCTCAGCATCTTGTGCTAAATGGAGGAGTTAGGTGTTTCATGTTGCTTGGTGAATCAAAATTCTTATCTTGCTTCTTAAACTCATGTCTTCATGTACTATCATCTTTTTTTTTTGGTTTGGAAAAAGGTAACATTATAACTATCTTCTTTATGTCAATTACTAAATTGGTTCCAGAAGTAGATGCTGTGAAGAAAGGTTCATATCAATGTTGTTACAATCAATAGAAGTAGACTCTGAAACTATACCCAGTTTGGCTACCCTTTAGTGATGCTTTTGACTGTGGATTCTGCACATATTGTACTTGTCTGTTCTTTTTAAAAAAAATATATTTTATGTGTAGAGGTTGTAACATGTTATTGTATGAGCTGGAAAAAATCTTGGGTATTTTAGTATTGGCTACTGTTGAGGTCAAATTTTATGCTTCTCTTTTATGTCGCTAAGTTTGAGATCACATGGAGGTTTGTACGTCAATGGGGAATAGAGATATTCTGAAAATATACCCACCTTGGCATCCCTTTTAGTGGTGCTTTCAGTGGATTCTGCCCATATAACACTTATATAATCTTCTTCTAATGTAGATGTTGCAAAATGTTATTTCATGAGCTGGAAAAAGATCTTGGTATCATTTTGTATTGGCTAAAGTTGAGATCAAATTCTATGCTTCTCTATTTAAAACTTGTATTAGACAATATGTATCAGCTGTATGTTGCTTGTAGTATAATCCCCACCTCTTATATGGTCATTGGAGGAGTGGCTGAAGCTCCTTCTTTTAGGTGTGATAAGTCTGGCTGTAGCTTTGTGTTGAATTTACTTATTTGCTGTGTCAGCGCAAAGAATTGTGCAAGCTTCGTGAGAAACTGGAACAGAAAAAGAAGGCTCTACAGGAGACCATTGCAAACAGGAAGAAGTTCTTGTCAAGTCTCCCATCACACCTAAAATCACTCAAGAAAGCATCCTTGCCGGTGCAGCACCAGCTTGGAGTTCTCCACACAAAAAAGTTGAAGCAGGCGCAATATGCAGAGTTGCTTCCGCCGCCTCTATATGTTATTTATTCACAGCTAATGGCCCAAAAAGAAGCCTTTGGAGAAAATGTTGATCTGGAGATTGTTGGTAGTGTGAAGGATGCTCAAGCTGTTGCCCGCCAGCAAGCAAATAAAGACACTGGTTAGTCCCATTCTCTGGATTTCTTGTTTGGGCTCATCATTTTTTTCCTAGTTAAGTACCCGTTTTACTAACTTTGCTCTTCTATACGTTCTTATCTGAATGGTAAATCATTCATGTAAAGGTGTGTCTGCCAGCTTAGAGAGCTCTAAAGTTGATGATGATATAGATGAGGAAGATGATGGACAAAGGAGAAGAAAACGTCCCAAAAAGATACCCAGCAAGGAAAGTCTGGAGCAGGCTGGAATTTATCAAACTCACCCTCTTAAAGTCACACTTCATATACATGATGATGAGAAATCTGATTTACAATCTAGAAAACTTGTCACTTTGAAATTTGAGTACTTAATTAAGTTGAATAGTGTGTGTGTTGGAGTTGAAGGCTCTCAAGAGAATGCTGATAATGACATCTTATGCAATTTATTTCCGGATGACACGGGCCTTGAGCTTCCACACCAGGTTTTTAACTTGAGATATAGGAGTACTTATTAATCCTTTTACTTTCAACTGTTTGTTTCAGTCTTTCTGATTTTTTCAGCTTCTTTTGTTTTCTGCAGTCTGCAAAGCTAATTGATCATTCAATTGTGTTCGATGAAAGGAGAACCTCACGACCATACAAGTGGGCCCAGCATCTGGCAGGCATCGATTTTTTACCTGAGGTGTCACCATCGCTTAGGGGTTTTGAGACTTCAAATGATGAGACATCAAAGCACACTGCTGTTATCTCTGGTCTGTCGCTGTATCGGCAGCAAAATCGGGTGCAAACGGTTGTGCAAAGAGTTCGTGCTCGGAAAAAGGCTCAGCTGGCTCTAGTGTGAGTCACTGAACTGTATGTTTAGAGTTGTGGATCTGTAGGGACAAATGTCATACATGAGACTGACTTCTGGCAGAGATGATCTTACATGCAGTTTTATTTTGCTGAAGATGTTTGAATTTATTAAATATAGCGAATGCTTTACTTGCTCTGCAAGTTCGTACTCTGACTTCTTTCTATTTCCTACTGTCCTTTTGTGCACGGATAATGGTGTGACGTCTTGTATTCCTTGTTTTTCAGTATTGAAATTTCATCTCTAGAATTGTCTTTTGCTCCTTCTATTCCTCTTTTATTTTTCGCCCTTAAGGTTAGAAAGCAAGGTCTTGACTCATATTGGAAATTTGAACTTTTTTTTGGCTGAGTTACAGGGAGCAGTTTGACTCTTTAACAAACCTAAACTGGCCAGCTCTAGCCGGTAGAAGAGTTCCTTGGGCTTCACATGATCCTCGCTGCAGTTTGCATGCATGGTTCACTCTTGGTTCATCTCCTAGTCAGGTTTCATCATTGACTCTCACAGAAGAACAAGTTCAGCATCCTACGGAAGTTGTGGTGGATGGGAAGTCTGCTTCTTCAAAAGAAGAGGTAGAAAGCACGAGGGAGGATGGGGAGCTTCCATCCTTAGTTCCCGCCACCTCTATAAATGATATTAACGTCACACCAATTAAAAGAACTGATTTTGATCATTCTACAAAGCTGGCGTTCATTTCAAAGAGTACCAGCTCTCCAATTACAAAGGGGAAGTCACCGAGTTTTAAGAAATACGGAGATGATACAGACCTTATTCTGGAATCAGATAGTGAAATGGATGACATTGTGCAGATTGAGCAGGACAGTAATAATACACCTGGATCCGCTGGGGTCAGTGATAAGTCATGGGTGGACTGCAAGGTTCAGGAGTATTGTCTTGTTTTGACAAGAAAGATGGATAACGATGAAAGAAAAATGAAATTGGAATCCAAGGTCTACCATCATTCCTTTCTCAGTTTCTATCTCAAAATTCAATTTAAATTTCCTCTTCATGGTTAACATTTGGGCAATTCTTATGGCAGATCAAAATCAGCAAGGAGTATCCACTGAGGCCTCCTCTTTTCACATTGAGCCTCTATGAGGCAACACAGGCGGAGAGCTATTACAAGGTGGATAGTTCTGTGTGGTACAATGAACTTCGCAGCATGGAAGCAGAGGTTAGCAGTAACAAACTTAATGGTTTGGTTTTGCATCCTGTAGCTATGTTACATGGATTCTTTATTTGCTGGACCGTGTTAAATGGGTTTCTATGTTTTAAATAGATCTAAAAGTTTTGAGTGTTTTTGATCCATGTAAGGTAGGTCTGCAGTGAAATGTAATTCAGCAGCAAACCTGTGGCTACTGTCTTATTCAAAAGGAAACTAGGCTTATTCCTTAATTGCTGGCAGAAAATTTTCATTAACCCACTGTAGTTTTAAGGAGTCAGACAATTTGCTGACTTGTTCGTTAATTGAGATAGTCGATGTCAGTTTTCAACAAGTTTATGGTCAATCTTATACTGAAGTAGCTATCTAATCTGTTGCAGGTCAATGTTCATATCTTAAATGCTATACCGGCAGCTGAGGAAAACTTAGTCCTAGCTCATCAGGTTCGTTGTCTTGCGTTGCTGTTTGACTTTTATGTTGAAGATGGGGGTTCATCTTCTGAGAAGAGAAGGAGCACTTCTGTGATTGATGTTGGTTTATGCAAACCTATGACTGGTGAGCTTGTTGCTCGATCATTTAGAGGAAGAGATCATAGGAAGATGATCTCATGGAAAGACGGCTCTTGCACCCCTGGCTATCCGTACTAGGTAATATCCCAAATATTGTTACATAATGTAAGCTTTATTTCTCGAGTGTACTGGGTTGTTTAATTCCATGTGATTTGTCTTTTGTGCTATACCATGTACTACCGAGATTCACATTGCAACATACGACTCTTGATGACATTACGATGCTATTTGTTGCCTATTTTTTCAAGTTGATGAGGCTGATGATAGCCACTAATTCATCCGTCTCCTTTTTCTTTGACTGTTGATGCCTTGTGCTGCTTGTAAGGATGATTCAATAAATTAGCGGATTTAGAAACTTCAAAATTTCTCCAGAATTAGTTAAGACAACTTGCTGATTGTTTATATGGCCGTGGCCTGCTCTGTTGATTGAGGGAAGTATTTGAAACTGTATTGCTAGAATCTTTCAAGCTGTGACATCATTTAAGATGTTCTCCAGACCGAAAATAAGCTGTTGATAGAGCGCCTTTCAAATACCATATCTGTCTCGATAGAGCGTTTTATCAAAGATGACAACCACATGGAGCTTTGCACAGTGCAATAGTATGTATGCCGTTTGATTGACATCTTTTTATACTATTGCGATGTGTAAATACCTTTTTTTCTTCTTCAGCGTTTGCATGGGAAAAGCAAGTGCTCTGTGGTGTACATGTTAATGCAGTTGAATGGATTCAGTGGCGCGATCAATTAAATCCGCTCGTATAGACATTTGATCGATAGAGGCATTTTAAACGAAAGGAAATCCTTTAAATTAGCAGTTTGAAACTAATTTATTGGTACATAATATTATAATTATTGGAAAAAAAAATACTAAGCCCCACTTGTGGAAAACAAAATAGATCAAGATAAAAGCTTAGTGCCTCAGAGGAAGAGAGGGTTGAAAGGAAAACACCATCCATTTAGGTATCTAAACATCACAACATCACATGAAACCACCCTGATTATATTTTTTTAAACGAGATTATATTCAACTCGAGTGACGTTGATAGGCAAAGCCACTTTTCTTCGATGTGTGCGCAAATTTGCATATGATACAGTCCAAAAACTAATAATTTAAATGGAAAATTGAAAATATAAAAAAGTAGTCAAAACTTGTTTTTATTGAAAGATCGTAAAAATGCCCTTTTACTAGAAGATAGTTATCTTCAACATAAGCCACTTACTATCACGGTGCAAATTGGTGTTAAATTACACATTTGCAAGTATGGTGATATTTTGAAGTTTTGTTCGTGTGGTAAACCCTTTCAGAAAAACATTTGGACAGCATACTGAATTTCCTTATAACACTTTTAACTAAAAATACATAAACTCCTACGATAATTACTTTCAAGATACATTTCTCGGATTCTTAGTCATTTCTGGAGGATCCGAGCATCATAGCTTAAAAGTGAACCTGTCAAAACAATATTCCAAATCACTTGTACAGAACACATTACAAAAGGAGCCATTAATATATGTATTTTTATGTGTGTCTGCTGTCAACTAGGTATTTCTACATTCTGGCTCTATTCTATGCATGATGCCATCGAGGGAGAATAAGAAATTAACACACTGAAAAACCTACAGCAAAAAGACAACTCTTCTCTTCTGATCTACAGTGAATACATAATTCCCTTTCTGTACAGGGCACCTACTATAAGTCTGTAAATATGGGCTAATACCACTAATTTCTGAAACCCTTTTTACCATGGACCAGTTTGTGTCCGTCTTAAGCATCGCCTTTTAGCTCCCTTATGAAGGTTCATCATTTCCATAACCTGTGTCACAAAAATGCAATACATAAGTTTTTGGATCCAAAAATGCCTATGCTAACTTAGTTCAAGAAGAAAACAACAAGGTAGACTAGCTTTGAGCTTCTATAGATAAAAAATGGATAGGATCAAACCGAGAAGAGCTGTTATTCTTGTATAACATGGATGGCCTGACTAGATGAAGTACATAGTGAGATTAAAATGCAGGTTATAGGGATGGAATAGTGTGCTAAAAGAAGGTACCTTCTTAGCCACTTTAACCAACAATGACTGGAGATGGTTGATTCAGAGAGTAGTTTCAGTAGCAAAGAACAGCATTTTGTTTTTTTCCAGTCAGCGAGGAAAAATGCTGAGAAGTGTTTATTCAATCTCATAGGGCTAAAATAACAGGCATGGTGATTGGATGGATGATCTAAAAGATAGTTACCGATTATACCATACTTATGGATAAAGGCAGGTTCCAAGATGAAATAGTACATTTTCCTCTAGCATGTGTGTGCTGAATTATTGAACTATGTCTATGGAAGCAAAACTATGCAGCATGAGGGGAAAATAAGAGGAAACAGAACTTCATGTACCTGATTCTTCTGCATTTCCAACATTTCTTCCTGCAGCAGTACAATCTAGTTAGAGACGAACTATTGAGACAGACAAAACATGCAATGTGATTGTATAAAAGGTCACCTGTTTCTTTTGAAGTTCATCGTTTTCTTCTTTTAGTTTTGCGACTTCTGCTTCTAGCTCCATAGTATAGGCCTAGAGAAAGTTAAAAAGATGATAATCATTGAACACAAGAGTGTACAACAGATTAAAACGAGGCACTATTTAGTACATGCACTTACTTTGAAATTAAGGGATTTGATGGGCTAGTTTTTGGTCTAGGTTACATACAGAAAGACAAATACACAAGGTTCTAAGCTATTCATATGTTGCGAATGGTGTTGGTCATACAAATTTTGGTTGCTTCGTAAAGCACAAATTGCATTACCTTGTCGTAAACAGAATCTTTATAGCTTCTATGAAGCATGACCTTTCAATTCTTGTCACGTTAGACCTCAATACACTATCACTCTGCTGCATATGATATCAAATATTTTGTCGAGTTAAAAGATGCACGTCCATGGATGGATAACAAAGACGGGATGTTAATCATTACGTACTGTATAAAGTGACAAGTCTATGAAGCTAATTTCTATTTTCCTTTGAGCTCTACAGGTCTTCTACACAAATCTATGTTATCTTTTTCAGCTTATCACTCTTCCAACCCTTCCAAACAACAAAGAGATTAGGCATAAATGAAAAAACCTTCTATCTGTCTTAAAGTACTCAACTGCACTATTCAAACGATTAAACTAAAATGAAAAAATTGAAATCATCTGCTGCTTCCTTTATGACATACCATGTACTAGTGCAGTAGCAGAGTAGGGATTTTCACTAAGGGCCAAGGGAAGTCAAAATATAAAGAAATAACCACACGAAGAAGCCAAGGGAATTCAACATATAGTACAAATACAATAAAATTGATACCCCTTTAGACAAGGTGGCTCTACACTTGCCAGTGTGGACTTCCATTCCTAGCTTGAAATAACTCTCTGAGCACTATCACAGTGTCTCTCTAACTTACAATCCTTCAAAATATTGTAGAGAGATCCTGAGTTGAAAAGTAAGCCTCCTATTACTGTTTCGTGTTCTCTGGATCCTGATAACGACAATTGACACCCTGGAACTAAATGACTATGAAATTGTCTGGTATATTTGGCAATGAAATTGACACCTGCCTACATATCTTTTTGCTGTATTGCTCCACATAAAATCAGAGGCGAAGACGTGGTATTTAATAAACCTCTGAAAACGTTAAAGTCTAACATTAAGGAATTTTGGAGAGTTTTACTAATTTTTTCTATAGGTTTGGAGAGTCATGTAGAGATTAACTTTGATGGAAGAAATGCAAATTAGTATTAACATTTGACATCCGATGGGCCAGATTGGCTGTTCATGTCTCTCGGCTGCATGACAGATAATACTGAGAGTATTGCTACCAAAAAGTAGACATACAAGAATCCCCCAAAACAGCAGAGCAAACTTTTCCCATTAAACTTGATGGGAAAATTTTAGACTGAAAAATGTGAGATAAACTCCTTTGATGAGAAGCTAGTGCCATTTCTTTCAGGATTTTTTTGGTAACGTGAGGACTCTTTACCAATCGACAGATGATTTGTGTTTCTGTCTGGAAAGTAAATCAAGTTCACCAAATCATAAAGATATTGCATGTAGTTAGAGAAACAGGTCAGACAAGTTCTTGATTCTTAGATGTAGCTGTATTTCTCTTCAACTAGTGAACTAGAGCACACAGCTACGTCTAAGAAAGAATATAACAATTGATGATTCCCAGCTTATTACTTAGATTTGTTCATACATGATCCATCATTCTTCATAATATGCATGCGTTGATGATGTTACATGAAATACAAAATGCATGCAGACATTAAAGGCATAGCCTATGTGTAAGATTCGAGCTATTACCTGCTTTCGAGCTCTTGATCTAGCAGCTGACTCTCTATTTTTTATCATTCTCCTCTGCCTCCTTTCAACAACCTTCTCCACAGTACTGTATTTCCTGCCTCTTAAACCACCATTAAACACATAAGGAACTGGAGATACAGAAGGTGTATCTCCATTGCTTTTCCCAAGTCCATCTGATGATGAAACACCTGGAGATGCTGTTGCAACAGTAACCCCACTGGCTCCTAAACCTACCATATTCATTCCTCCACCCATTAGAGCAGTGCCTTGAATGAAATTAGAGTTGAGTGCTGGATCAGGGATACCAACCATCCCTACCCTCATTCCCGGACTGCCCAACTGCCCACTATTTGGGATAGCCATAGGAGCACCATAGGGCAAAGCAGGCTGCTTAGGGAAAATCGGTTGCTGCTGTGGCTGCTGTTGCTGTGGTTGATGGTTCTGTTGCAGTTGCTGTGGTCTTAGCTGTTGTTGTGTGGATCTGACCCCATTCACATTCAGTGGCAAATTAGCAGTCTGGATAACAGTTTCACCATTCTTGTTAGGGATACTACCAGCCATTAAACCTGTGTTCCTATTATTAGCTTGTTGATATCCAAATGCAAGCCCTGTATTATTCCCAGCATAGGACAAATCACCAAAGATTCCTCCAGTATTATTCGATTTCGCAGCAAACAGTGCATCTTCTCTGACAACTCCAGCTCTAACTAGGAATTCCTCAAGTGTTATCTCCCCAAAAGTCTGTTGCCTCTGAGTCTGAGGTATATTTGGTGGCACTCCAACACTATTTCCATCCTTCCCACCACCATGCTCCTTTGACATATCTCTCCAAACTTCATCTACAGTCTTATGACTCAGTGTCCTAGGTAAAGTCAAAGATCCTTGCCTCTGCAAATGCCCACGTGGAACACCAACCTCTTGCCCATTAATCCCAGGCCCTCCTATTGTTTGATTCTCCTCAGCATTCCATATGTTCTTTAACAACTCATCCATGTTCATTGACCCAAAATCCTTACCACTCCCTCCTGTTGAGCTAAGAAACTCATCAAATGTCAACGAATAGATAGATGACTGCCGCGGCAATCCAAAGTTCCCCAGCTGCTTCCCACCACCACCACCACCACCACTTCCACCCTCACCTGGTGGCTCATTACCAAAGTTCTTGAAATGATAATTACTCCCCATTTCACTAAAAACTCCTCAGTCCTCACCTAATCCTCCTTCAAACCTCACCTCTGTTATTCAAGAATCACAAAACCTACATATCAGATCAACAAGTTAATTCACTTTCCTTTAAACCTTTTTCCCTATCATACTGTTCAACCCCTCACATAAATAAATGTACATCTATTTACAAACACACAGTTAATTAAAAGCAAAATATACCTGGAAAGAGATGAAAAATCAATTTAAAGCTAAAACTCACCAACCCCTTATCAATAAAATCATCAAAAACAAATTCTATATGAAATTCACTTCATTCAACTAACTTTACTGCATTTTCAGTTCACACCAAAAACCCCCAAAACACAAATTCCCCCACCCACCAATCCAATAAAGAACTCACCTTTTGACCTTCAAATACACAAAACTCAACTAAAAAAATCACAAAGCTCAAAGATCAAAACTTTGAAGATAAGAAACCAAGAAAACTAATCATTTGACTACTTATCCACAAATAGATAATATTTAAGGAAACACCAACCAAAAAAAAAAAAACTTCTTTTTTGACATGGGAACACAAGAAACAGTTTGTTTTCCTGTTTACCTTTTTTTTCTTTTTCTCCTTTTTTTGGCTTTCACTTGTACACTGCTAGACGTTTCTTCTTTGGCTTTGAGTGGTTCTTGAAAGTGCCAAGTGGCTAATTAGGACTTTTTTTAAAAAGAAGTCGGTAGCCCAAATATATAATTTTGGATAATAAAATAATGGGCTTTTGTGGGGCCCAAAAGTATAAAACTTGGGCCAATAGTGATGGGGTAGGAGAAAGGTTGGTGTGACTTTGGGCCAATAATTGAGTGAAATGTGGGATGATATCTAACCGTCCACGTAGAAAGGATATGAATGGTTGAGATTAATTTGTTTGGTTTATGGGATAGTGACGTGAGCATAAAAGAGGCATGCCCAAAAGTGTGTAGTACTAGCCCTTGTATGAAGGGCATTTGGTGTTTAGGGATTGGCTAAATACTAAAATAAGGAAGTGATCTTTTATTGGGTTTGCACTAATTTGGCACTTTCTTATTGGCTAGTAGTTGGTTGAGATCTCTTTGATTGAAGTCTAAGTGCTTTTATAACAAGTTTCTTCGGCACGGTTCGTGGTGACATATTTGAGATTCATCTACACTTAATCAGATGGTTAAGATTTGATTTTTTGTGTATAAAAAAAATTCTATTGAAAGTGTCGCCTCCAAAAATGCCTCTACGTTGTTGCAATTTAACTTTAGTCAGGCGTTATAATACGGATATCCAATAACGGGTAGAAAATAAAAAAAATATAAGTAATATATATAATAGCTTCGATTAGAGCTAAGGCCAAAATGGTGTAACTTTGTCAATAATGAATTTGGTGCCACGAGAGTGATGTATATTCATGAAGTTGCGACCAATCTCGCTATTTGTTTAGTTGTTGCCCTTTGATTAACATTTTAGGGTGGTTTTGTATAAGTAATATTGGTATAATATTTGTACCATAACATTGTATTGTTCTTTTTATAGCAGATTTAAGGTGTGATAACTTATATGTGTATTAATTAGTTTTCCATGATAAAATACGTGAACTACAAAAATAATCTTGATGTCATCTTTTATTTTTTTATATACTTTGAAAAACAAAGGCAAAACTCCAATTATTTATGTTAAAACTTTATATATTTCTTTCCTAATCCAATTAACCAAATATTATCCAAAAAAGCATAGTAGTAATACTAAATAACTTGGTGAAATTATTAGTTGTTGCATTACAATCTCTCCATGAATTTTGTACCTTATACAATATATGTTATCAATCATGGTTCATGTTTATATCTTTCTTCATTTGGACTATGCCTCTTACATAACTATTTCAAGTTAAATAGACTACAATTTGTTTTTTTCTATTTAGAGGATCAATCATTGTAGACCTATCTCTTGTTGACTACGACATGTGAAGTTCAAGGCACATAGCCATGTGTTGGCTTTGCAGAGTTTCAAACTTAATTAATGTGTGAGGCATATATATATATATATAATATATAATAATGATATAAAGACTTATATTACTATATAGTACTCTAATAAAAGAATATTCGTGGGCAAATGTGAGAAAATGGGTAACCTAATTAAGCAAGAACAAACTTTCTTAATGATAGCACAATATGGATCTCCATAAATTGTCTACTCACCCAGACAAGAAGATATTTTTTTCACCAACACAAATCATAAAGGTTTATGACATAAGCTTTATGTTAAAACTAATACCTTTCTATAACAATCATTCGCTAATTAATTATAAGTCATTTTTTAATCGATTTTTCATGTTATGTTATACTATATGTTTTTTTAAAATAATATTTCGTCATAGCAACAAGCGTTGTTGGTATAGAGAAGTTCGATTATACTACTCCTTTCATTCTAATTTATGCAACATAATTTGACTCTACAAATATAAACATGTCATGATTTTGCATGGTATAAAAACTTTTCATTAACAGTGCATACCCCTCGAGGGAGAATTGACTAAGGAATTTGACTTCTCTAAATTTAAAAAGCAGAAAAGGAGATTAAGGTATAAGGAAATGGTATCGCATAATACAACTACAAGTGAAGAATTAATTTAGGGATATGGGAAGGAGATTACAGATGATGAATCGAACTCTGACCAACAAAGTGAAAGTTCACGTAGTCAATCAATGAAGAATTTGAAAATAAACTTATTTATATATTTATTTACTCGAGGTGAAGCATGTGAGGGCTTAAATAAGCATTACCTAAACTAGAACTAATCTAAAAGATTGTTCATTTCAAGGTCAATATCTTAAGATGTGGCTTCCCATTAATGTTAAACAACAATTATTTTACTATAATCAATCGATCACCAATATACTGACATGACACTCTCCAAGACGGCATCTTTACTTTAATTTCAGTAATTAATTAATTTATGGTCAGAATAAGTATTCAACAATCAACATACTTTAATTTGAATTGGTATGAAACTATGAATATAATTATAATTAACTTTTAAACAAGTAAAATAAGTAAATGATTTTAAAATGAACATAGTTTGTGTAATAGTGTATCCATTAGAGACGATACATTTTATAAACATATTTAGAAAATATTTGAATACACAAATGGCAATCACAATAAATATTATAATTAAAGGATGAAATTAAAATCATTCATATACACCCAAAAATTCCTTCCTGTATTCCAATTTTAAAACAAATATAGGAAATTCCAAATATTTTAATTTAGTTCTTTTTGCACCTCAATATCTCGACCATATATGACGAAGGATTTATATATGCATGACAATTACATCAAGTGTTTTTTTTTAACAAATATATTTTACATCAATAGTTTTTATTTTCGCAAATAGTGAATAGATTAACAATAATAAATCCAATATAACTCTACAAGTGAAAGCTAGATATGGTAAGATGTACATAACTTTATTCCTATTTTTATGTGATCGCGAGGTTATTTTTGTTTACTCAGCAACCTTCCTCCTGTATTTAGATTTGGAGTTGGTAATGTGAACGAGCGCACACACTCGAAGTTATAAACCCAATTTGATCAAAATATTTCAACAAAATGAAAATGATCATTTGGTGAGATTTAGACATCTGGTACATCCTAATAGGTTATGGCATCAATAATTAACTTGGTGTTCCAATTAGAAGGAGACATATAGAAAGACGTATAATTAGAGTAACTACACTTCAATTTATTTTGTGAAATTGGCTAAGCTTTATTAAACGCAAACACTATTGTCAAGAGATATATAATGATACAAACATTTACTTCGACTGAAAATGAACAATTTAAACTGATAAAAGACTGTACAAACATCGTGATTAAGAGTGTAACTTAGTGATCAATGGGTGAAAAAAGAAGAGATTTTTAGATTTCAATTTCAGTAGCAATTGAAAATATTAGATAATTTCTTTCTATATACCTAAGCCTTGATAAATAGAGTTAATTTTATATACATCTATATTTATTGATGGGCACCTAATGGAATATTTAGTTAAGATGCACGTAAGCTAACTTGATCATCATTAGAGTTATCTGATATTTATATATGTTGATAGTCACCTAGTGGAATAGACAAGATGCGTGTAAGCTAGCTCGTACATCATCACAATGAGAAAAGAGGAATTATATACAAGTCTCAACATCAAATTTCAATATTGAAGACTCTAAATTGGAACTCATATCCTTTTTTTTGAATTTCCTCCTCCTCCTTCTTTTGGGGCTATCCTCATGGCTAAAAATGGTAAAAAAAGAAAGAGAAAAGTTTGAACTTTGATGGACAATGATGTAATTAATTATACAACCTATAAATTATTGCCAAATGTTAACAAGTCACAACACTTAAGCTATATACATTATGGATTTTTTTATGCCATGTTATTTATGAATTTAAAGCACTAATTAATTAAGACCAGTTTTGAGAACAATTGAGGATGATGCATGCATATACATACACGTGTCACTCATTAATTATTTCCATAAGAATTAGTAAAGCAATAGTAGTTTTCTAAGTCCATCAATCGTTTTCATTGTTTAATTTCCCAAGTGCAAGGAAGGAAGAAGCATATATCCTAATATGTAATTGTCACTTTTATTAACACACAGTCCCAAAAGTTCAGTTTACTTCTGTATAGTGACAATATATTATGTATTATAAGTAAGTGACAAATTGTTAGTTATATATATATATATATATAACTTGAGGAGATCTGCGTCTAAGTTTGAAAAAATACAAGCAAATTCCTTTTGAATACAATAAAGTTACTATATAGTAATATATATATACTGATTTCTCGACACATGCATTGTATGAGCGCTCGTATCCACAAATAATAAAAATGCAGTTGATTAAGAAATTGACCCGAACTGCGTCTCGTCATTATTATGTCAAACCAAAATCCAAATAATAGAAATATTTCTAGTCACTCAAACTATATATTATATAATATTCTCCTCTAGAGACATATATTATAAAGCCATTTGTCAAAACCAATCCAAAAGCATTTGCCGTAAAAGTGTCAAACTCCTTTTCTTTTTTTAATTTATCAAAACCCTATCAAAAAATGTTCCTAGTCAACACTTCTGTCATTATTTTTAGGAAATATCGCTTTTAATAATCTTGAAAAATGGATGATATTAAACTTTTGATCCTCAATTTTTATCAGGAATAAGCCTTTAAAATCAATAATCAAACTTTGTTAAGCTTGATATATATTTTTTTTATTTGTTAAGCTTGATATCTTGATTATGATATAAGCGAGATCAAATAGTTAAGACTAGCTCACCTCCAACGTCATTTTTATGAATCAACCCATTATTCTAGCTACATTCAAAGCACACTACATAACTTCTTATAGTGCCAAGTGTAATTTTCTTTTCAAAGAAATTGTTTGTGTTTTCACATTAGTCCTCTGTATTTATCCTCTTCTTTTTTTTGTGATTTATCATGCTTTATTTGGGAGCAACCCGCTTAGTCTAGATAGGATTGTTATTAGTTAGGTTTTAGGTTTAATATACACGAATAACAAAATAATTTTTTACACTATAAAATTAATTTAAAGTTAATTGTGGATAAATCCCTTCTAGATAATGTGCATTAAGTTACGATAATTAAAATGACATAAGTGATTAGTAAACAAAAATATCCTTAAAACTTTAGTGCTCAACTGCCCAAAAAAATATCACTAGGCGCACCACTGCATGCTACGTGTCTGAATTCAACATATCTTATTAGCACCACTAGTTTGATTTGTGAACTGATAATGTCAAATCAATACATGCACCATGTTGCAAAGTGCAAACTCTAATAGAAAATATAGTATTCGAATCAGTTTTCACGCACATTAACTATTTTATCAAGTACTATTTGTTAACTTCTCTAATTGTTAACTTCTCTAATTAATACATGTACCAAATAGCTCCACTCTTAGACTTAGGTGAATCAATACTAGATCACATTTTATATTTACTTGACTTTTAAAGTCTTGATCTCTCAGACTTTTATCTACTTTATCAACAAAGTATTGGATCACTAGTTAAGAAGAAAGGGTACTTATCCATCTATCGTAACCTTCGTTAATGAAACGATAGTTATTATTGCACCATAAGTAGTACCTAATTATGTCTTTTCTTGATCGACTGATCTACATATTCTGTCTGATGATTTGACTTAGAGTTGCAGAACTCAGCAACCAATAAAACAAGGACAGACACATTTCTAACCAGTCAGTTAGTCATAATATCTTAGCTGAAATTTTCAAAAGATCTCCAATTTGTTGTATTCTAGAGCTTAGGTCATATGGATGTTAATAATGCTTTAGTGAACAACACAACACGTATTCTATACGGTGGCTAAAATTACCTTTTTTTTTCCTTTTTTTTAATAATCAGACATAGTTTGTGTGCACCTAATAACACTCACGAGTGTGTCAATGACATGGTTAAACACTAGCAGATAAATTTCATCTATCTATGTAAATTTATATAAATTAAGTTACTCGATACTTGTGTTGGTGGAAAACAATAGCTACCTGTGGAATGGAGGATTGTCATTTTTTCTGCAAAAAGTCATAGCCTGTTCTCTTATCTATTAGATCCTGGTTAAGACTAGTCTAGCCATAGAAAAAACTAAACTTAAATCTGAAAATGCCATCTGAGTTTGGACTGCAATTTACTTACCAGAATAGGTAAATTATCCTTTTTGAAACTCGAATACGCCGATCACTGCAACATCTTGATACAACAATGATGTTACAATAAGGAAAAGAAGGAACCTCCAACTGCCAAACCCAACCAAAAGGTCATGGGATGAGAGTAGGGATAGGAGAAAATGAGAAGGAAAAAAAAAAACTTAAAGGCAGAAAAGGAAGCTTTTACTTCAACACTTTGTAAAATATTAAAATGCTTCTTTTGCAACAGTATGAGACCTGGCCATCTAAGCAAAACTTACACTAACTTGAATTCCTTTTGTTCACTACAGTAACTTGAATTCTACAGTGTAGATTTTTAGACAAAGTAATTGGAAGGGCAATTCTACGGTGAGTAGATTGCAGTAGTCTCCCAATAAAGACGAACTTATATCACAACCTTCAAAATTATTTGATCGACACTCAACATAATGTATTCGGCAATAGTAAAAGAAACTCCTTTGCATGAAATTCAGGGTAGGTACGAGTTCCGAATGATACATTCAGTCATTACGCCTCCGCTTCCGAAAATGCCTGAGGATAAAACTGTCAGCATAGAGTGGATAGTTTTTTCTAATTAACCCCTTTATGCATTTCCAGTATGAAAAGTCCACTGATTCACCATCCTTGCGGACAATAAATAAACATCTTGAGTTTTCAAAATCTGGATGGTACCCTACCTGTCAAGCAAAAACCAAGTGATATGCAATGTTAAGAAATTTGCAAAAGAGAATCTCTCCACGCACTCTACATGCACATGTAAAGTAGTAGAAACCTAAAAGTACAGTCCACTTCCTGGAAATAGCACATAAAACAATCCAAAACTATTTCTAAAGTCATACGGTTCTATGAGCTACTTATCCTAAAACAAAGGGATTACAAGTTACTGAAATGTGCTTGAATAGGGAATTCCCACCTAATGGACAGTAGAAAAACCCCTTGGGAGGAAGGGTCGGGGGCTATCCTAGGTAAATGAATAACCACGGGGTGCCAAAAACCAAAGTGGTTGTTCACCACTTAAATACTAGGCTTAGTTATGTTTACTTATTTATACTCCTTTATTCACTTATTTATATTTTTGACAAGTAGAATTGTATGCAAACCCTGAAGATGTACTCCAACTTAAAGATAAATAGTTCTCCATTGCACTGCCAACTCTTTACTAGATTCCTTAAGTACATTGTAAAACCCTAAAACTAAAATCTTGTTTTCTATAACTGAAAATTTGTCCTGAACCCATTTTTCAAATGCCACAATTCCCTGGCGATATTGTATTTGGTCTTTTTCAAGTATGACTTGCTCTTTTGGCCACCTCCCTCTGATCAACTTTCCAGTTTACTCAACATTCATTTATAATGTCTTTGCCTTCTCTTATTTTGTCACCAAGATATTCCCAAAATATTCTTGACTTCCCTCAGTTTATTCAACTTTAAATCTGATTCATTATTTTGTCAGCTTCATGATAGGCTTATATATCTCATCAGTCATCTGTGGAATAATTCACGAACCGTTTGTTCAAAACATATTGCAATCGATATTCCATATCTTGTTCATTCATGACGTACATCATAGTTACTCCCTCTATCCCATTTTATGTGGCATCCTTTCCTTTTTAGTCCGTCCCAAAAAGAATGTCACCTTACTTGGAAACAATTTAACTTTAAAATACCACTTTTACCCTTAATGAAATGACTTTCAACCACACAAATATCCAAGAATTGTTTTAGACCACAAGTTCCAAAAGTCTTCCTTTTTTTCTTAAACACCGTGTCAAGTCAAATGGTGCCACATAAAATGGGACGGAGGAGTATTTCCCGGGTTTGTTCTCCATGGATTCTTCCACAGTTGTCCTATTCCCTATCTCCTTGAACACCCTTCATCACTATATATTACATTGGATTTCCCTAAAATATTACACCATTCAGACTAGCAATTTCCACATTCCATTTACTTCCCTTTGTTTTACTGTTTGTAGTTCCATTTGATCTCAAAGGCGTCGTCCCTTTCTGCACCATCAAAGCTTTTCACAAGCACGCCTTCCCCTACAGTAGTTGGGGCAATTCGCCTATGGATTGGATTTGATACTGTTTCAACCCTAAGAACAGGTTAGATGTCCATTCCTAGTGATGGATTGGGTTTGCCTGCTATTTTTGCTACATTCTGATACCCTTGGCTTCAGCACTGGTATGTATAACAATATAGTTCTCTCCTGGTTCTATTAAACCTCAAAATCATAAAATAGAGCAAGGTAATAGGCCTAAAAGGCAGTTTAGTCGAGCTCAATCATTATTTTGATTTGAAAAAATCGCAGTGTTGACCTTCCATAAACCTAAAACAATATACAATATCCAACAAATATGAAAGAGCTCCAAAAAATAAATGAAGTTCCCGGCTAACAGATTAACAAGTTTCAGACGGTAATTGTGTTGTGGATTACACATAACACAGAAAATGCTGCCAAGAGGGCAAAATATAATGTTTGCAATATAAACTGAAATAGTTGGTAGTACTATCTAGTAATATTTTTTTCTTTCCTCATCAAAACTAAAGAAGCTGGTAGTACTATATTTCACCATGATATGAATAGAGTTTAAGAAAGCTACTAATATAAGAAACCCTTTCTTAATCCTTCACCTAAAAATAAGATTATTTTATCTCTAATTTGAGATTGCTCACACTAGTTTCAACTTTCAAGTGCATGCAAGGAAGTTATCCAGTCTTTCTGTCAAGAAGAAGCATTTGTGCATGGAGAGATAGAGAGATCAAACCAAGTGAACAGAGAAAGATGCGATGTGAGATAACAATGCAAGAGATCAGTAAATGAAGCAGGAGGAGGATGGCATACAGTAATGTAATCAACTCCAGGGCCAATCTTCTTGTCGCATTCTGGGTGATATGGAAGCAATCTTTGTAGAATTGTTCTCTGGTGATCAGGACTTAACCTATCGCCAATTGCATATCTGCAAAATTGTAGATTGAACAAATGAAATGAAAATAAAAAACAATGAATGATATCAATGTTTTTTTCAGGGGTTGGGGTTCGATTGTAGAAATATTTAAACATTTTTTATCAAGTATGCACAGTAAAAATATAGGATTTGGGGGTTCAAAACTATGGCGCTGCATTATTTCATATTTCATTTACATACAAGACATCTGACTTGAGGCAAGTAAGTACCTTTTTGTAGAATAGACTTCTTCTTTTTTTGAGAAAGGTTTTTTGTAGAATAGACACCTCAGAGAGAGGTTGATAACTATCTTATCTCTGTCAACAACTCAGAAACAACTCCATCGAAAAGAAAGGAAAAGGGGATGAAAACAGACTGATCACCAAGTTAACCTTAGAAAGGTTAGCCATAATCTGATCTCCAAGATAATTTTTTTTTTTTTTTCCGATTACAGCAAAACAATGTGGTGACTCGATTGAGCAGTTCAAAGGCTCACTTCATCCATGGTACTATTCATCAACCAGATGTCAACATTCTACAAATGCTTTCATGCTGTGAAGAGTTGGAGTTTATGACTCATAAGAGCATAAACTACCTAAGCTAGAGATAAGGTATTTTGCTCTGACTTGCTGAAATCATGGCTATGAGAAAGTAGTTGTTTTTCACTGAGAACCACTTAAAAATTTTGAAGTTACCAAACAAAATGGACAGCCTGACTCAGTTTACCAGCGAAGCTATAAGAAAAGATTTGACAGACTTGGAATCGCTGGAGCAGAAAAGACATATAAATTTCACCAGGTCAAAGCTCCAAACAGAAATATCACCCTTTACTTGGAGCAGCTTAACGTTGTCATCCTATGAGGGGTCTAATGCTCCATTTCTTCAGAGCATATTGATATGGTTATGATCATCACACATTTAAACCAAACTTCTTTACAATTTAATTTCCCTTTGCTATTGAATAAACAAAAACTTCATTATCCAGGGAAGAGGCACCGGAGGACAACGAATGAGCAGTCAAAGAAGAGAAAGAGAGCATACTTTGTTTACCCTGCATTCAAAGTTTCCTTTTTTTAATTACTAGTTCATATAATACAGTAGTTTTTTCCAGTTGAGAAGAAACATGAAGCAGTAGCAGAATCCCCAGAAAGTCTATTTTTTCGAGATAAAGGCACAAACACACAGCATATTACATATATGAATCAATAAACAAGTCTTTAAAATTAGCAGATTCTAAAAGAGAAGCAAAATTGAGACCTTACTTTCCAGAATGAAGAATCATTCTAACAAAGCCAACCAGCGGCACAGTATCCTCTAAAATCTGGTCCTCCCAATCAACCCAGCCCTCTCCATCTCCGCCTTTCTTCCCTACTTCATCATCCGACTCTTCCTTCACCAACTCCTCACTTTCTGACGTCGTCTCCAACTCCGTCGAAATCACCGGCTTCCGCAACAGCTCCGCGTTATCACTCCGAATCCCTCCGCCCTCTGAACCGGTCTTCACCGCGGCGCAACGACACAACCGCAATCCGCCGCAACGTGAGAAGGATAAAGAAGAGGGAGATAATAGTAGATGATGAGAAATAGGGCTAGGGTTATTTTTTCTGCATAAAAAGTGAAAATTTGAAGTACAAATTGAAGCCATTTTTCGCCTGAAATTCGAAAACGCCTTTCGTTAAAGTTTATTGCTTTACTTCAGTATTCAACATTGTAGAATCAACTCAAAAGAATCGAAGAAGGAGAATTTGGTCTCTCGTGGCGAAGTACTGTACAGTGCTGAAAACTAACTGCTGCTTTACCGTGAAGAAGAAGAAGAAGATAAGTGTAAAGAAGAAAGCTGACCGCTTTATTGGGTGGGCTGGATTCTGGATATTTGGATATCGGGTACTGGATTCGGGTCATGTTACATTAGACAAAAAAAATTATTTTTTCTTATTTTTTATTGTGTCATTTATTTATAATGAGATAATAAATTGAGAACTTAGAGGTAGAAAATGTATCATATATATTTCTTTTCTTTAAATTGAAAATAAAATTTCATTATATATGCGTGTAATCAATTTGAATAAACTTGAAAGTCATGTGTATTTCAATTTTAATTTTCCTACTCTCATATTTTCAAGGAGAGGTTCTCTATTGAATTAACTTTTTTTAATTATATAGGATTTAAATACGAAAAAGAAAAATATTCTTTGTTCATATAAATAAAGTAAGTGTGAAATAACTTGCCATCAAATCAGCATCAAAACCAATTATGAAATTGGTTGATATTAGGGGCTACTAGAAGCTTGTTTATTATACCTTACTTACATATGTTGTTGTTGCATTATGAAGTGTTAGGTTTGACCTTATCTTATTATATTATTTTTAGTTTTTTTTAATGTATTGAGTTTTAAAATTTAGCTTATCTTCTATTGTATTTGCAAAATTTTCATGTTATTATACGCTTTAAAGCAATTTAAGCTTGAGAAATGTAGAGAATAGTTCGAAAAAACAAAAGTAAATGCTTGATTTAACTATGCTGATAAATATTAAGCGGAACAAGGAGTATTTTTCTTCCCAACTTCTCTCACATGAAATTATTGTTTCTATTAAAACAAATAGGAAGATGGGTAAGCATTCCATACACTATATTGCGGATAAAATCAACATTAAAAAATAGATAAAAATCTAGACGAGAATCAAAAGTGCACCAATATTACAAATATAACTATTAGTGCTTTGCTGCTTTATATGAAAGAATTATAAGTATAATTTTTGAGTTTCAATTCAAAGATAAGGGACTCTTTTAAACTTTTTCTCTATCACATTACGTTCACAAGATTAGTTATTACTCTTTCAATCTCAAAATATTTATTGTGTTTTTCATCTACACATTCCTTTAAAAAATCAATTAAAAGAGATGTTTGACTATTTTATCTTTACTCATGTCTTTATAATATAGTCTTTAGAATTTGAACCCGGAACATCAATTCACCTAAACAAATGAGTCAACTTCTAGTCTTGTATTCAATGATTTCAAAACACAAACACACACACATATATAAAATCATTTTTTTATCAAGAGAGTTCGGATGAACTCCCGTCCTCTTAGATATGCCCTAATTGTACCTATCTAAATTTTGTTTAAATTAAATGGGACATTCATAAATGAATTTTATGACTTATGAGTGGATCCTAACGTGACTCCTCAATTTGTTACTTTTTTTCTTTTAAATTTTAGTTTAACAGTCGATTTTTAAAATCATACAATAAAGTAAATTTCTTTGAAAAGAGTACAGTATTCGCAATACATATACAAAAGAGAGCAGTTGTGTAATCTGCTTTGGTATACATATACAAAAAGATCAATTGTATAAAGTGAGAGAGGCGAGTGAGCGAGCGAGATCTGGGAGAGTGGCGAGCGAGATTTGGGAGAGGGGAGAACGAAAATATATGTATATATATAATTTTCTCTCGCTTTATACAAACACAAACACAAACACAAACACATTTTATACAATTTGCATTTTTTGTATAAAGTGAGAGAGGCGAGTGAGAGAGCGAGATCTGGGAGAGGGGAACGAAAATATATATATATATATATACAATTTTCTTTTGCTTTATACAAACACAAACGCACTTTATACACTTGCGTTTGTATAAAAAATGAGAGAGGCGAGGGAGAGAACGAGA